AGAGAGAGAGAGAGAGAGAGAGAGAGAAACAGAAACACAACCACACAGAGACAGAGAAAGACAGAAGCTGACAGAGTGATGAAGTGAAAATGGAAGCAGAGCTAAAACAGACCAAAGAAACAATTATGGGGTGATTTTACACACACACTATATATATATATACACACACTGTATAAGGAACAGGAGTGTGTGTATAAGTGTGTGTCAATTGCTGTTTCAACAGGAAGTGTGGAGAAGTCAAGCACCCTTCAAGATAACGCTAAAAAAACCCATATATCCACACACACACAGGCATGCGCAGACACTCACGTGCGCACGCACACTCACACACAATCTACACAACATTTACCAAAAGCAAGTTAGTTTTTCATCTTAAAAATCAAGCACAGGATGTGAGTAATTACCAAGCACCCTGGCCACCCCCAACCCGTTTTTTTTTTACGATCACCCCTTTCTCCTTGGCTGGCGCTCAATGACGTCACTGTGCTCCTGCCTTATTGCCCTACTGACTGTGGAAACCGTGGCAAGACCGCCCTCTGTAGGCCAAATAAGGCTCTACAGTAGGTGGAAAAGGGATCGTGCTGAAGGGTTCTCTGTTGGCCAAATAAGGAAACACAGGATGTTGTAAGGAGATGACAGAGTGGGAGTGGAGCCTTGGTGCATTATGGGAAAAAAAAGCGAGACACTCTATGGGGGAAAAAAAAAACTCTCGCATGTGCCTTTTTTTTTTTTTTTGCGTCAATACACCACTTTCACACAAACCACAAGACATTTTGGGTACATCTGAGAATAGAAGCGTTAAAGTGATAAATCAGCATTTGTTAAAGAAAATATTTTTTTTTCATTCTGACTGCTGTAGTAGCGACAAATGGTAGGCCTTTGCATACTTTTTATCAAACTTTGCTAATATCGCTCCGAAAGGAGAAACTGCATTAAATAGTCAGAAATTATCACAAAAATCAATGAAAACACCCAAATTTGAAGTTCTTCACTGTTAAATATTGCTGTAGAATATCATTGTACAATGTTTTGCAGAATATCTACAAAGCAATTTAAAATATAAACAAGAGCTGTTGTTCAGGAATGCTGTCTATTCATCATTGTTCTGTGAAACAAGTGCAGATTTACAGTATTTCTGTAGAATATTGTTTCATGATCATTATAGTTTTTTTTCCAAAAAAACGAATTTTTAAAAAACATCAAATGCCACGGGTTCAACAACAGCATGAGCCACATTAAAATTGAAGTGTATGAAGAGCCGCCTTCATAAATGAAAATGATTTTTATTGTCTATAAGGAAGCTCACTGTTTTGCATGTGTAAAAAGGAAAAAAAAACATCCTATAGAGTAAAGCCAGCAATGGGTAGACATTGTAATGACCTATAAAATGAGGAATTTGAAGTACAGCAGTTGAACTGGAGTTTGATAAGAAAACAACGTACTGCTCGGACAAGTACCTTGGCACTCACTTCTCCCGCCATTGTTGTATTTGATACTTCACGCTAGAAACTGACGCTTTAGAAACTGTAATTGCGCCAGCGATGCCGGCTTAGTGTGTAAAAATCACACAGTCAACAGTAATACAACTCCTTTGCATGGTTCTGTATAAAATGTGTAGTCCCTCTTGGAGAGGGGTGTTCTGCTACAGCTCTGATGCAGCTCTGATGTGAGGTCTCTGTATAAAAGAGGCTGAGAGCATGAAACAAAGCGCTCATGTGGATGTACTGGACACTCATGTTAAGGCGCTTACACGTTGCACTTTCTTTTCAAAGTGCCCAACCCCGGGGTGGGCTGCAGGACGGAAGAGTCATGGTGGCCCAGCACAAACGTACCGGTTGCGAAACGACTGAACAGGAACTAGCATGGGGACTTTTCCCGTGGTTTTGATGTATAATTAGGCCACAGCTCGGTCAGCAATATGCATTTGTCATTGTTACCATGGAAAGCCCTGGCAGCAGCTGAAATTTTTTTATTATTTTTTTTTAATTACGTCATCTATAAATGACCTGACCCATTTCGCCATTTGAAAAAAACCCATAAAAAGTCCCTGAGCCCAAGTTCGCACACTTGTTCAAGGGCACAGATGAGCTGGAGCATATCCCAACTGACCTTACTGGTTCAGGTAGTGTTACTCTGTCAATCACGGGGTTCATAGAGATAAAGAATCGCTCACTGTCACACCTATGGCCAGTTTAAATTCTTCAAATAGCCTACCATGCATGTTATTTGTAATGTGGGAGAAAAACAGTTCAAGGGAGAAACGCATACAGCACAGGAAGACAAATTTTGGAAGACAAAGTTAGTGTTGCTTGCACCTCGTTTTTCATTATTTGATCCCCAGCACTAAGTTTCAAAAATAATCAGATGCCACAAAGCAGAGCATTGCGTTCCGTGGCTTGAAACTCGTGTTGCTGTTTTGGAAACGTGTGGCAAGTGTACACAGCAGCAGTTGTGCAAGTGAAAACAGAGAAGGCTTTGTTTGGCCGCCTGTTGCCCTGAGGGGAATCCTCAGTCTTATGTTGCCTTATGATGCAAAAGGAATCGCTGCAGGCATGTTTCTATTTCAAAAAAAGTAAAAATGCTGCAAAAAATGTTTTTTTTTTCTTTTAGGGAATATAAAACCAGTTGTTGCTTTGGCATGTACTGTATTTCACTGCCTATAAAGGGGTTAACCGTTTTTGACTTCTGACGGATGCTATAAAAGTTAAAAAAGATCTTACGATGGTATAATGTTGACCATGGGATAGATTTTTGTTTTTTTTAATGCATCAATTATTTTGTTTGGGAATCTTATTTCGTGGACTGGATTGTGTTGGATGCGTAAGAATATACCTCAGATGCTTTCACACTCACCTTCAATCCATCGCTAGGTAGTCGGTATCCAAACCTTGACGGGAGGTCATCAAAGGTCTTAGTTTTGTTCTCAAATGAGTACTGAAAGAAGGTTAAAAATATTTTACTTAGGACACTGACTTGAGACAGATCTGGTATTATTACAAAAAGGCTGTGGATAAATCTCACTAACTGCAGTCTTACGGGAGGCTTTCGCATTGAGAGTTACTCACAGCTGCGATATCGGCTTCCACAGGCAGCAGGTGGAGGAAAGCAAAGAGCTGGACGGTGAAGATGGTGTAGATCTGCGTGGCCGACAGCATCAGCATTCCCAGGGACAGCAGCATCTTGGCATCCCGTTGCAATGCTCAGCTGCTGCCACACCGCTCACTCATAAACAACGCACTGTGAGACAGCGTGTTGATCTTGCCACTAGAAAAAAACCCACAGACCTTTTTAAAATAAAGGTAAGGACTACACAGGGGCAGGATATTTGCCAATTAGTCGCGTCATTTTTTTCAGTTGTGAGGAATTGGTTAATAATCAATTGTGCATTCAAGACAATGAGGGCAAAGACTATCATCTCAACTCATGTGTGGTAGGTAATATTCCGTGGAAAATCATCACATTTTACTTTAAAAAAGCTATTTATTTACTACAAATCATGCATTTTTGCTCATCTACACCCTGTGACTTATAGTGAAAGGACAATGAAATGTTATTACACTGGATGGCAGAAAGTACAATTAAACGACTCATTCATGTATTCAGAAATATATATTCATATATGCAGAATATCAGCGCAGATATTCAGCAGACAATAATAATGAAGATAACAATAATAATAGTACTATGCCGACTACTACTACTAATAATAGGGCAGCATGGTGATCAACTGGTTAGCACATCCGTCTCACAGTGCAGAGGTCGTTAGATTGAGTCCGGCCTCAGCCTTCCTGTGTATAATTTGCATGTTCTTCCAATGCCTGCGTGGGTTTTCTCCGGGTACTCCGGTTTAGTCCCACATTCCAAAGGCATGCACGGTAGGTTGGCTGAATGCTCCAAATTTTCCCTTAGTGTGATTGTTAGCGTGAATGGTTGTTTATGTGCCTTGCGATTGGCTGGCAATCAGTTCAGGGTGTACCTTGCCTACTGCCCGAAGACTGCTGGGATAGGCTCTAACTTTCCCATGACCCTCGTGAGGATAAGTGGATAAGAAAATGGATGGATGGATAACTACAAATTGCTGCTATATAATTTCAGATGTGTTATGAGTAACAATGAAGGAGTAATTGCAAAAGATTATTTGTGTCTCCTCCAGGAGAAAAAATACAATCCACACTTTTAATAATAATAATAATGTATAATAATTTTACTGTCGTTAATGGTGCTCACATTTTTCACTCTGGGCTGCCGATTCCACTTGTGCGCAAGAAGCCGCCTGCCTCCTCTCAACACCCTGGACACCACCGTAATGCATAGCAAAGCCATACTTGCGTTCAACATGCCGTATTAGAAGTGGCCGAGGTGAGCAGTGGCTTATATACAGTAGACATAAGTGATTTCTTTTGTCAGCAGGGGTCGTAGGGTGATTCATGATTTGTGACTGTGGCATGAACACTGTACTAAAGACGTTATAAACCTGTTAAATTCACTGTTGTGCAAGAAGCCACCTGCCACTCTTTCCTAACATGAGGGTGTGCTTCCTTGTCAGAGCGCTTTTAAAGTTTCGACAATTACAAATGCCTGTAAGTATACGGTACCAAGAGCAAGCAATGCCCTTGGCCGAGTGTGTCACACTCCACAAGCACGGCACATGGTTAATTTTAGATCATGTTAATAAACCACAGCAACTCCACCCAGTGCGCTCTGTGGCTACTGACCAAGCAATGAAGTTCAACTGTATACCACATTCAAGGAAAGTGAGGCTTTGTTACCCAATGTTCATAAAAACATTCCATCCTTATACTATAAATGCCCCGTTCTGTTTAATTAACTATACTATTTATGTGAATAATAACTTGAAAAACTTTCATCAGATGGTTTTTGAGAAATAAAATCCATACAGCATAAAAAAATAAAAATAAATAAAAAAAAATCACAAATGACAGAAAAAAAAATTGTTCCCATTAAATATTCCTCCTGTAATGCTCAGTTGCCCCTTCTTTACCTCAAAAATTGTTGATTTATGTTTTTCCTTTTTTTTGTGGCTTTCCGTTGTTTTCCCAGATGGCATACACTGCTTATACTAACAACAAAGACGCTAATAGGGAGACACTAATTTATAAAAGCAGGGTTAACTTTTTTTCAGCAACAAGGGATTCCTGGCATGAAATGGACATGAGTGAAATACATATATTTTTTCCATTCAACATGAAAGGATGTTACAGTGTTAGAGACATAATGTTTATTTATATGTTGCAAAAGCAGTGGTTTATCAACACATGCTTCAAACCTGGAAATATTTTGTTGAGGCCACTTTGGCCACACCTGAATTCTATGTGAGAAAAAAGCATGAGAGAGCTGAATTGGGTGCAGGCAGCATCACTCTTCCACAACATGCACATGAATCTGACAAGCCATGCAATTGGGAAATTAGGAATGAATGAGTTCAAATGTTAGTGTGTTTGGGATGCATACATGGTTACATGCATGTTGTGAAAAAAATTGCCATAACTGTAAAGAAAAAAAAATTAATTAGAATTGTTTGATCATTGGATTTTCAATGCATGCTTGTCATTAACAGAACTTGTTTTAAATAATGTCATTATCATTTTCTTATTCCAAGAAAAACATTAAAATTGAAAATTAAATTCATATGGAGGCGGGGAACTAACTGACATTTTATTCTGAGGCCTTGTGGCGCAGCTCTATGATAATCCATCATCACAACGATGCCCAACTATTTGAAATCGATTATAGCAGGACACGATATCTAAACTACCAGACAGACTATCACTATACTATTGCAAACAACTCATGCAGAAAGCAATGTGCAGACACCATTCTCACTGTCATTAAAGAATGAATGTCATTGATTTGGTGCCACAACAAGATAGAGAGATCGATAGACAGACACTGCACACCTATTTCAAAGTAAAATAAAAGGGAAGCGAAAGCTACGGTGCACATGATTGCTGCGAGCAGATGACTAAAAATCAAGTGACTTGAAATGATCAAACTGTGATTTGTTGAAGATGACAAAACGTACAAACAGAACAAATCATAACCTTAAATATTATGAGGTGAAGATGATGACAAACAAATCTCAGAGACCCACGAGCAAAACGATTACACATCTGTAAATGAGGAATGACAAGCAGTGTAAACCAGATAATACCAGGAGCTAGGAACGTGCTAATGCGCGTTAGCTATAGGAGCAGGCATTTACCTCGATTTCTCCGCGGTGCTTTTTCTTATCTAATTGAAGCTCCACGCAGCGACATGCAAGTCATGTGAAGGATTGGGTGCAACGACATCGATCGTGGATGCTCGTCATGCCGTTCGAACGCTGGGGACAAACGGCTAATCCGCTCCGGTCCGCTGTGTTGGTGATTCGTGTGAGAGTACAAACTTCCGCCACACGCGTACTCAGACGTCTGGTCTCTGGTTGGGCAAAGTGACTGTCAATCATGTTTCTTTCCGGAAATGATTGCAGACATAAACACTTCACACGTGACGGCTCCAAAACAACTCGTTGAGCTGCGTGTACTTACCCCAGGGCTGCCAAGCTTTTCTTTCTTGGACTTAACAATATCACAGAAACATTAAGCAACATTTGCACCCTGATTTACAGCTTTATTCCATGAAATTTATTATTATTTAATTAACGCATCTCAAATAGTCTTTTATCTTAATTTCTTAGCATTTCTCGACGCGGCTTCCAAAATAAATGTTAAGAATAAGACTTTAGAAAATAAAAATAACAAGATTTCAGTGTTTTTGTGCTATCATGTCAATCTAATCTGCTGGGACTTCAAAATCAGGTGTCCTGGCCCACATATTAAACTATATTAACAATGGGACTGTTTCTTGAATGAACTAATTTCAAAATCGCTTCATAGAGCCACCCTGCTGGCTCAAAATAACAAGCAATTCTCGTCCTATGAATGGTTGGTCATAGTAAACTTGTTCCAACCAAGTTCAACGAGCAAAACAATATAATTTCTATTTATTATTACACATTACATATATTACGTCTTCAAACGTTGTATGTTTTGTAATCTTATGACTGAAATAGTCATTCTGAACTGCTCCAGATGATGTACATAGAACGATTGTATGCTGTTATATTACATTTTACATAGAATTGATGGTTTCTATAAATAAAATATGATCGTTGTGGATTAGGGCGAATCCCCACTGAAGACTGTGATACCAATGGTATAGCCTGCCACTGCATTTCAAAATTACATTTTTGCTATCATTTAGATTGAAATTGCACTCAGAAATTTTCAACCTTTATTGGGCCAAGACATATTTTGCATGAGAAAAATCTCTCAGTAAACCACCATCAGTTTTGCGTATCACTCGTCACTTGCAAACAACATGGCATCATCAGTCCTCTCATTTGTCAAAATAATAGCAATCTTTGGACTAATTTGGTGAAAATTGATAATTTCCTGCGGTGTACTTGAAAGATGTGTCACAAGTCACGACACACTAATGCCCTATGACACAATGGTTGGGAAATCATAAATAATGTCATGATAATATACATGAACATGCACGTATTCTATATTTTTAATCATAATATTAGTTTGGACTTAGATTTACTTCTAAGGGACCCGAGGATACTGAACAGTAAATCATGGCGATACAAATACTGTACATATATTTGTTTGCACCTGCATGTGTGTGTGTGTGTGTGTGTGTGTGTGTGTGTGTGTGTGTGTGTGTGTGTGTGTGCGTGTGCGTGCGTGCGTGCGTGCGTGTGTGTGTGTGTGTGTGCGTGTGTGTGTGTGTATTGATGTTTCTATTACTAAAGCTATGATGCAATTCCAAAAGCACTGTATATGATTTCTTTTATGGTGAGAAATATTTTTTACGATCACTTCTGTTAGGAGTCTTTTCCAAAGACCAAAGACAAGTACCAATACCTGGAACTGAGCTATGGTGGTGCAGCACTCCAAGATTGTTAGGCTCTGTGTGACGTGGGCATGAGGAGCGGCAGCACCATAAAAGGCCTTGTAAAGGTATTCAGACTTAAGCAGAAGTGAGGCAACTCTGATGTGGGTATGCAGTAAAGTAACGGGCAGCCGTTCCACTTTCAGTCAACGACGCAGAGAGAGGAATTAGAGGTTCCTTTTGCGCCCTCAATCTACAGTATTTGTGGCATGAAAGGTCACTGGAGTGATTCTACATGTTTACACCAAAGAGTTGTTTTTTTTTTATGGTAGCTTATATTAATGTACCGGAGTTTTTATCACTGGTAACACACACACACACACACACACACACACACACACACACACACACACACGCACACACACACACAGTAAGGTGCAATTTATGTTGTTTGAGGTGAGAAACCACTCATCTTGAAACACCATATTTTATTGTTCAAGGCTGGCATCACTATCAGTCACACAATGTTATCAAATCTCCACCTTTAGCCTAAAAAAATTATAGTTTATAATTGTGTTCAAGTAGGTCAGAACGCTGTGGAAGTTACAGTATCTTCTATAAACTGTTACATCAACTTTTTACCAGTAGAGGTTGCTAAACGACATAACTGCATAAACTCCAAGGAGGTATACTCTAACGGAGACTGATCAGAGATTTATGTTGCTTACATTGGTTACCGTTAGCCAATGTGTGCTAACAATACAACTCTAATTATCTTTTGAATTTGACATAGTGCTTCTGTCTACTCCGGCTGCGAGATTCCTTGTTGTAGCAGCAGCTACATGGCTTTATAATTTCACACTTGAAATAAAATTTTAAATTCAATTTATTTATTAGTTTTTTTGGTAACATCTGTTCTTTCAAAGAAGTTACATAAATCACTACCAAATCAATCCTTACTCTTTCTGGAAGTTCTGGACGCCCAAGTTAAAAGATCAGCGTGAGGCCACAGTGATGTGCTCGCCATGAGTGTGCCCGCCAGCGTTCTGCAAATGACTGACACCTAATCAGTCAGGCCTTCTCTTTCCGATTGTTTGTTTTTCCACAGGCATAATGATTTCTTTAAAATCAAGATGTGCAATATGGAGCCATAGAAGGATGATTTTTTTTTTTCAAAACATCATTTCACCAATGTACTACTACCACGTGAGACTGACAGTTTTAACAAATCTGACAAAAAGTGATTTTGGAGAAAATTGTACACACTTCTCTATCCATCCATCCATTTTCTAATCCGCTTATTCTCACGAGGGTCGCGGGCATGCCAGGCCTAACCCCAGCTGTCTTTGAACAGTAGGCGGGGTACACTCTGAACTGGTTGCCAACCAATCACAGGGCACACATAGACGAACAACCATTCGCACGTCCATCATACCAAAACACAATTTTAGAATGTTCCATGAGCCTGCCATGCATGTTTTTGGAATGTGAAAGGAAACCGTAGTACCCGGAGAAAACCCACGCAGGCAGGGGGAAGAGCATGCAAACTCACTCCTCTTTGAATGTAAAAAATATAAAGCCAAAATACAGTCAGATTATGGGCAAATATTGTGTAATGGGTGACACCACTGAAGGACCCAGTAGTCTGTGCGCCAGCCACTGCTCACTCCCACCTCTTAGCAGAAAACACATTCCATAGCAAGAATTCGCTGGCACATCACCAACCTCCCACCGCTTCTTCAACACGCCTTTGCACCTCAGAGGCCGAAATGCCAGAGAAAATACAATAGTATATAAGGCTTGACAGTGGCCAGGTTTCTTTCCTTTCAACTATTGTAAATCTTAGCGGTGTTTCCCAACCTTAATAAATGCAAGGTACATATTTTACATGTATTATAAATATAATATAAAATCTCAAGGCATACCACCAAACTAAATTGTCACAAAAAAGTGGACACTGTACTTGGGTTTGCAATGTACCTTCATCCATCTTGTGGAAAAGAAACATTTGATTGTTCTGTCTGTCTGCCACGAAACGTTACTAACAGATCTGTCATAAGATCTGTGGTAAATAAATCATTTTTGGACCATTAAATTGAAATTGGACAAGTGGATAATTTCCAGTGGCACACCTGTAATCTCTTGGAGAACACTGGTTGGGAATCACCGTCTTTACGTATGATCTTAATCAGGTGTGTCCTAAATATTCTGTCAGTGGGTCAGTTCAATACACCAAGTGTGACAAAAACGAAATTAGATTGTGGCAACCACATTCTCTACTCCTTGCCAATTGGGAAACTGCTTCTGTCGCAGTGTGGCCCACTGTTCGCCATTGTTCTGCTATAATTTGGTCATTTTTCTCACTCAGTGCTTTATGTTGCACACTGAAAATATCTATCCATCCATTTTCCCATCCATTTATCCTCACGAGGGTCATGGGCATGCTATCCCAGCTGTCTTCGGACAGTAGGTGGGGGACACCCTGAACCGGTTGCCAGCCAATCGCAGGCCACAGTCACACCTATGGACAATTTAGAGTGTTCCATTAATCTGCCATGCATGTTTTTGGAATGTGGGAGAAAACCAGAGTACCCAGAGAAACTCCACGCAGGCATGGGGAGAACATGCAACTTCTACACAGAAAGACCGGTGCCAGAATTGAACCCGGCACCTCTGCACTGTGAGGCGGATGTGCGAACCAGTCGACCACCTTTCTGCCACACTGAAAGTACATATAACATAATTCCTAAATGGTTGGCCACAATATTGCATCTCCACAAGCTTCTTAAAGACGTTTGAGGCACTCTTTTGGACAATGCTTCAATGGGATATGGGAGGAATTCATGGAATCAAAACTCATGTTTGTATGAACATGGGGAGAGCATGCAAACTTCATCTTAGATTTTAGACTCCGAAATTATCCAACATCTTATTTTGATTCCATTAAATAAATTCAATAATATTTTGAGATAAAAGAACAAAATAAGCTTGAGGTGAGAAGGCCGATCACAATCATACTGCTACATACATACATACTGCTAGTCTAGACCCCCCAAAAATGGCTTGCCTAGTGCTGGAGTAATAAATAATTGCAATGCAAATAAGTGACACTAAAATGTCTTTTATTCTTTTGAGTGTAATTATTTTTTTCTTTCATATAGTCCCTTCAAAGATCTTTTAATTCTATTGAGTGTAATTAAACTTTTCTTTCATGTCGTGCCTTCACAGAAAATCCGTGGTCGAAGCAGCTAAAGCAGCTAAGCATTGCTCGAACACTGGCTAGGAAGCACAACCAGAGCGCACATTAATTCTGCTGTCAATCAGCCATATCGTAGGCACAGTGGATAATCTATCTGCCTCCCCACCTGCCTGAACCACACGATTAAGAAATGCTTCGGAGTGGAAAATGAGAATTACCTCAGACTTTGCCACAGTAAGCCATTCCCTTTAATTAACTTAGCTTTTCAAGATATAGTAAGTGTTTAGTCGTTATGAAATATTATCTCCCAGATATCTGTAATGTAT